CCCTAGCCAAAGGCAAGGTCAGACGGATACCTTAAGAGATCTATCCATTCTCAGAAACTGATTTTTTTGCAGAAATAATACAGTAAGTTTAGGTGACAGTATCGAATTTGGGAAATTTAATTGTTATCGATGAGAGTTATACGGATGAACCAGTGGCGTACCGAGGGGGGGGGGGGCGGGGGGGGGCGCGCGCCCCCCCCGAGAATGGGTCGCGAAATTTTTGAAAGTTACTTACATGGGTTATAAAAATGTGCAAGTGACTTGTTTTTACTTGTAAATAATTAAAATAATTTTTGAAATTTTTTAAAAATTCATTTTAGCCTTATAAAAAATTTTTTTTCGGGGGCGTGGCTGACGCCACGCCCCCTTTTTCCAGATTTTAGGGGTCGGGGACCCGGAAAAATTTTGAGAAGCACCCCAAAAAATTTTTCGGAGTGCGTGGCTAACGCCACGCACCTTCTTTAGAAAAAAATTTTTGTCGCGCCCCCCCCCCCCCCGAGCCGAAATCCTGGGTACGCCACTGGGATGAACATATTTAGTACAAAATTTCTGTCTGTACTATGTAGATGCAAACGTCTAAAGTTTTGATTCTGATGAGCTTTAGGCAGTCATACACAAAATTCATCTTCTCTCGCAGCATCTTGAGCACAGTGGTACAAATCACAAAGTCAAAGTTGCTTAATGAAAGTACTTCGTTTCCAATAAGCGATCAATTTGTAGAAAGAAAAGATGCTGACGTTCAAATGACTAATCCTTTTGATACTAATCCTTAACGCCCATTTCGAGACCCGTCAAATAATAAATCATTCACATGTCTTAAGTGGATTTGGGAGACACGGGCTTCGTCTTAATCGGGAAGAAAGAGTTGACCTTGAATGCAAAAAATAGATGGGAAATGTAGCTTGCTTACCAAAAAGTTTTCCAATTTTGGCTGAGAAATCAAAATATAAAAAGTTTAAACACATTTGTTACGATATTTCTCGATTACTGAACAAGAGAAATTATCTTAGGACGGTCAGGTTTTATTGTTAGAGAAAGGAAGTTACGAATCAAAAATAAAACGTAAAAAATTAGTTTGTCAGATAAAAACCCTTAGAGCCTGGGGTTGTTGACTACGTAGACACGATAGTGTCGAAATCACTAACTGTAAGGTTTTTAACCTTAAAGGCAAGAAGTTCTACGTAAAAATATCATATGGACTCAAAAAAGCAATACACCGCATGTACGTCATGCCACGCTCCTAATATACTTCAGTCCTTATCAAGCTGACACAGGTAAATCTAACCTTGAGAAGAAAACTTTCATGAATACGAAAATTTTACCTTGAGGTACAGCTCAAGGTAAATCACATTGCAGTAAGGTTCATTCTAATCTCATCACTGCAGCTTAAGTCCAAAAAAGTATGTGCCATAAACTCATACATTCTTCATATATCAGACTCTGAAAACGCATGAGCCGCTGAAAATCATGCAGTGGGCGTGCCAACTCTGCTCAGTCGCTATCGTGTAGCCCACCCGCGGCTTTTGGTGCAAATGCACTAAAATACACCGAACCGCAATCCTCCATGCGGCGGCTGACCTCGGATCATGAGTTTACTATAGTTTTCCTTCCCCTGGCTACCCACAATTTGTAAACTGCAGTGATAATTAAGGACCACAACTCGTCCGCTTTCAGCGTCCGAGCTGGCACGTTTGTGCCATTGCGACAATCGTTAGTTTTGAATTTGGTATAGCTGATTTTGGTAGATAATAAGCAAAATTTTGCTTTCGCTAAAAGAGAAAAATTATGGCGTCACATAGCTTCGTACTCAGATTGCACAATTCCCTATGTTTCTCCAAATATTTTCTTACTCTTGTTCATACTTTTCTTTCAGCTAAGATACAGCTCTATTACGTCAGACCACAATCTCAGAATCCGGAATATTGTTTCGATAAAACTTTCCAGCAAGGGTTACGAGGTTGGAGAGCTACTGGAATCACACATTTGTGATCAGCAAACTGGAAAATCCTCAACAATCAGCCAACTTTGAAATTTTGACCTCACGGGTTAAAAATTTATACTGTATAAAACTGACATTCTTTTCGTGGCATACCATTAACCCCTGGAGCAGCACAGCCGTCTTGTGATTTTGTCCGTACATTAGACCAGTGGCCCAATGGAGGGAGGGTTTGAAAATCTCTAAAAGTTACATGAGTTGTGAGGATGTGCTGAGGTTGTTAGTAATTCCAGTATTTTTCGAATTTTTTTGGTACATTTCAAGTTAGCCTTGTGAAAGAATTTTCGGCGGGAGACCGCAAAGAGACCGCAAAAATTTTGGGGAAACATTCCAAATATTTTTTCGGACTGCATGGCTAGCCCCACTTACATTGAACCAACAAGTACTTTTTCCCTTTTTGCCTTTATTTCTCCCTTTTTCTCAACTGCTAAAACATGAAACTTTTGCTTCTTGTCATGTTCGAACATGTGAGCAACCTTGAAACGGTTTTCCTGTCAAAACATGTTTCCTCGTATCCGGAGGAACAAAATAACAATCAATTCGGCTTTAAAGACTTATGTTGACTATAAGAAAGTCCATGCACCGCTTAGAGTCATAGCGTGCTCTAAATAAACGTTAATGTACACCAGGATGTGTACCATGAGGTAAAATTTACGTTAAGGTAGAATTTACCTCACCTTCAATGATGAATACAGCTTCTGGAAGTCCAAACAGTGCCGCCAATTGTAAAGAATAACCATCACAGAAAATAGTAGTATTTGTAGGTACTTCTCAGTGTCTCAGTTCGATTATTTGGTTATTTGAAATTTTTGATTTTGGAATATATTCAAACATTCGAATATCTACTTTCTATGACCTATTCGATTATTCATTACATTTATTACATTTTCGTGTAATCGAATAACTATATGACAGCGTCACATTTTTGGTTGCTATATCAGCAAATATCGTTTGCTGTTCAAGTTGCCCACTTTACGGAGTCCTTTATCGTGTAATTCGATTAAAATTTGTTTGAATTATTCGACATATCGATGCGAATTATTCATTTATTCGAATTTTTCTCGAATGTATTCGATTATTCAAAATTTTTTCATTAAAAAATATTCGATATTTGATTATTCGACACTTTTCTTATCTCGAAAATATAATGCTATGTTCGATTACTCGGAAACATTAATTCTCAAAAATATTCGATACTCAGATATTCGACATTCGTTTTTGACAATTTTCGTTTAAATTTTCGATATCGATTTTGGAATATATTCAATTATGCGATTACTCGAAAATTCGAATATTCCAGAGCATGCTATACAGGCGAACATGAAATCCTGAAGGCCTGCCGATTAGTATGAAAGGCCTGGCATTTTATGATTATTTAGTGTCGAACAAAGTCTTCCAAAGATGTGATTTCTTCCCTAACCATAAACAAGCTAGTGATGATAGGGATTATTCGAAGACCAGCATGTTCTTAAAATCAAAGTCACAAAGTTAAGCTACTTGTAGGCGCATTATGCTTTACATCACCCAGATTTCAATACCAGTACTGATAATGCCTGATATTGAGCAATGACATTGCGACAACAGCATAGCCGCAATCGAGCGTATGACAGAATGTGCACGACCGCCGATTGTACCATCTGCTCGTTTGGAAAACCAGGCGACTGCATGGAATTAGGAGTGGTATATCTCATAACCTGTCAAAAATGCAGTGACCAATACATAGGAGAGACCGGCAGCCCACACAAAAATCAAAGAGCATCCTAACGGCCTTAAAAATTCAAAACAACCTTTGGGTGTACATCGAAGGTTATGTCATGAGAACCAGCATTCAAGTCACTGCGGTCTTGTCGCACGAATCCAAGTACATAGCCCGCAAAAGCTTGGAGGCCGTTTGGATAGCGTCTTGAACACCAAAATAAAGTGCAAACATGAAAGCTCTACCATAAACAGCGAAATGTTCTCTATAAAACAATGTGCGGATTCTGACACGGATTTTCTAGAACCCTATAAAGTTGTTGGCACTGACCGATATACTCATTCATAGCGCAACTGCAGCGCAGTACTGGTTGATCGGTCTCTATATCGCGATTTGGTGAGGCTGAGACCAGGCTTTCAACCTCTACTCTTCGACTCCTTCACATAGCTAAACTAAATCTATTGCCAAACAGGTTTGAGCGGGCAATTCTCAAAGTATCGATCTTTCAGAAAGACCTAAAAAAGGCGGACCGCAACGACCGAAACGTTGGCTTATTGTGTGATATAGTCTTGCTACTAACATTGATTGACAGCTTAAAAACTGTATTACAACTTGAATCACAATGCCAATGTTTATCGACAGTCGAGCTCAAAGTCTGACATTGCGACGGTTGAACCAAGTTAAGAATTAATCCATTACGTTGGTGCCGTCATCAAAAAAAACTAAAACTTATGCTTTCTTCAAACATCACTCACTTTTTCTCTTAATGAAACTTAGTCATTACCACACAGGCGCCTTCACCAGCAAAATTTAAAAAAGCAAAGTTTTTCGAACTTCATTTACCATTACTTAGTTGAGTCATCACTGCTTCAAGATTGCATATCACAAATCGCATAACATGTTTTTGTCAACTGAACGCTTTTCTTGTACTTCGTACGTATAACTCATGTGACTTAATCGTACCATTTTGAAACAAATGCGTTTCTGATAGCATTAATTAAAAAAAGAAAGAAAAATCTAAGGATTTGAACAATCGGTAATGGGATTTTTTAGTTAAAGTATTTAAGCATCATGACGCAACATCATAGACAGAACTGCCGCAGTCTTAGCGCAATCACTTTGATTTCAAAATCAGGTGCTGCTATTGCTGGCAACTGAAATTTTCCCTATAAATTTAACACATCTTGATTCACCAAAGCTCTATACGAGGACATTTTCTAGCCGCATCGCTTTACCATTCACTTCTAGTTCATATGCTTTGCTATACTGATTAGAAAATTCTCACAATTATGGTGACAATACATCCGCTTTTCAGACTATGGCTTTCAAAACCGCCTTTTTGGTCCTTCTGCTAACTTTCACTATCTCAAATGTCATCTCTGAGAAAATGAGATTCCCTACGGCGCAAGATCTAAAAGAACGTTCATACGTGGTATGCTTGACTTTGTTTCCTAGTTTTGATAGTCGTCACGGAACCTACATTCCCAAAAGACTCGCAAGGTCTTGAGGAAACATGAGCGTAGCAAGTTGGCAATTTCACAATTTTTGGAGAGGGAGAGACAGAAGCTTTCTGAATGGGCGTGGTGATGACCACGTGGCGACGGTCACCTACTCGAAAATTGCAAAGCTAGTTTAACTTTTTTCCTGAAACGCTCTGATTACTTCTTCTCCTGTTTCGCGTCATACTTCTCACAAAGCACTTTCTTGACCACATGATGCCATAGTAATGTAGACATGCTTCACCTTCAAATTTTGCGGGAATGGACCCACATATGAAATGTAGAACCACACGTTTACAAGAACCATATTAGAAAGAATGATATTACAAAATCACAAACACGGTATGTAAATCTAGGTAATTGCACAATGTGCTTATGCTCCATTAATTTGACCACCTTGATGCTTGCCTTGATTATGAATTTATAGGCATGTGCATGGAAAGCAGTGATGGATGTCAACAAAGTCAGAAACAGCCTGTATAAGATGATTCCCATAAAGGTGTAGTTTGCGAGAATTGGCATTTTAGAGTCATAGCATTAGCATTTACAATCTTATGCTGTTTTAGTGAAATATTTATTTTCATATCATAGGTGGTCCAGGCTCAAAGTCAGGTTGTAGCAGGTTCCATACACAGTTGGGACATACTTTATGGTGATTCTACATGCAGGAATGGAGTAGGTTTTTGTCTTACACGAAAATTCTGTTAGGCAGCATTTTGGAAAGGACTAGGCTGTCTTTAGAGACGCAGGTGCTCTGAACTGGACATGTTACGCAAAAGCTCTTCCCAAAAAAAAAGAACCAAAGAGTATCTCGAGTTTTACTGAAACTTAAAATTGCTACACGTGGTTCGCTTACATAGGGTTTTCTGATTACACATGGATTTCAATTTGCAGAATCAAGAAGAGTGAGGCTTCGTAATCCTTTAAATTACGCAATTCTCGTTTTGAAAATCTAGAAAATATCTGAATCTGCTAGCTATAGGAAAAGCTGAGTAATTAGCACCGTGCTGCGGCAGACTAATTAGCGCCAGGACGAGCAGTCAGAAGGGCATACACTTTCTACAAACACAGTATTTCGAAAAATGAAGCAACACCGCTTCTCCTCCGGATAAAAAACCGGAAAGCATTGCGATCACATTTATGGAAGGTCAACAAATAGGGAAATTATTGTCCTTTGCTCTTATTGTTTCTACTCTACTGAAACAAATTACTACTTGCCTGTCCCAATAGCAACACTGATTGCAGACGCAACTTCTGTTACCTTGCTATTGAGCTGTATTATCCATCAATAGCACAAATCTGACATTTTGTTGGGCACTACACAGAATTTGCCAGATTTACATGTTTACAGAACATTTTCGTCATTTGCTATTGCAGGGGACTGGGTTATCAGCGGTGCACCTAGCTAACTGTCAGTTGAAGCCGAATGGACACAGAGCCGTCAGTTTACTTTGCTGATAATCGTCTCGCGTGGTAACACAGTTCTTTTACAGCTTTACAAAGTTCAGTTATACTCTAGACCTTGGGAGAACAAACATAAACTCACTGTCAAGAAAATCCGCGATGTTGCTCCTGGTGAAGAAATTTGAAGGAAAATTGTTGTTTCAGCTGATGGAACGGAAGTGCAATAAATTGTTAACTTTTCATGTCGTTGCTCCAGACAACTGGATAACTAGGAACAGAAAAATTTAATATTTGCTTTTTAGTCTAAAGACTTCGCAAGAATGGTACCAAAATCATGCTAAAAATCGTTTTTAGATGGGAGGAAAAGGGGGGAGATGGGGTTTCATGGGGGGGGGGGGGAATTTCGAATTTCATCGCCGAGGAACTCGATGGTTCCAGCGACGAAATCGCGACAACGAAATGGGGTTACTACTCTTCATTCTTAGCGTATAACCTTGCTCATGCCGATATGCAACAGAATTGCAAAACAATTTGCCCTTTTTTCAGTTTCTCACGAGCTATTACTTATTAGAGAGTTTTCGTCTGCAAATGCTTTGGAAAGCTGACAACTGCAAGAAGAACGCTCTCTCCAGTTACTGGAAGAAGCAATCGCAAAGACTTAAAAATAAGAACGATGATGTGGGGCTCTGTAGTGCTTTGACAATTTAAAAGTGCCTTTTTGAAAAAAATAAAGCACAGCACTAAAAAGTCAAAATCACAAACAGAACCGTTTCGTGCTAATGCGTCAATATCAAACCCAGAAATCTGCCGCATTTATGTGGGTAACGGAATTTAAGGGTACTCACTCAAGTAAGATAATATAATATATTTAGTTTGCCAAAAGTAAACACCTCAACACTAAAATAACCTCAGAAGATACGCTTATCAAAAAACTAATATATTCAAGAACAGAGCAAGCGAACGGATCACACGACAATTCGTAATTATGAAAGTGGACGTTAAAAGTCGAAGTTTTCCGCTCATCTACTTCAGATGAGATCCACTTCTCCCGAAACTGAAACACGTCAAAATATTAAATGTCCATAAAAACTCTCAAGATCTCTCTCGCACCTCAGCGATATCACCCGGTCCCTGTGCAGCTGGCGCAATGCGACATTGCTGAGTCTTACCGAAATCGCGGCGATTATTGCTGCAGAACCATGCCCTGGCTAAAAACGGTCGGCGATCCGTCGCGGCGGACGACTACCACAACCGCCTTGGCGGACACATGGACTCGCAATGAGAGCGTAACAATTGTCGTTTCACAGAAATCGCAACGCGACGGAATCGAGACAACTATGCCCTAGGCCTTAGGCGTAAAAGCGCTTCGCTAGGGAAAGACACTATGTATTCGTGTCCACATATGTACCCTTTGATTCAGCGGGATTGGCTGCTGGGAGGCGGGCTTCGAGCCTAATCAAGGCTAGGGAATGATCAGAGAGCACACTCGCGAGGCAGACGCAGACTGCGTCGCAGTCGCGAGCAGTCGCCTTCCATCCGCCAGTCCCGTCGAATCAAAGTATACAATAGCTGGTCGCCTATAGAGAACTGCGCACGTGTCTGTAGAGATCTGGCAAAAAGCCGAGTTGCGGAGTTTCGGGTTTTGAGGGTTTCGGTGGATTCGCTGGCGCATTGGGCCTAGCGTCGCAAGAAAAAGTTAGATCGTTTTGATAGTCACAGATAGAAAAGCTCATATCAAACGTCCTTTAGAACTCAACGTACGACTACGATCGGCTTCTGAAATGTTTGCGACTGCGGAAAATGTACCTCAACGACGAGAAGAACTTGGAAGGCATCTTGATGATCACCAGGGTTGAGCGTGGGGTCAGGCGCGCCCGACCTGGGGGATCGTATTGAGGGTAAGACTGAGTGGAGGGGGTCGTAATTAAGAATCGAATTTACGGAGTTGGGGAGATACTGTGAAGGTGAAGAAGAAATGCGCTAGTCCGGTGGATATCGCGATCACATGAAGGAATGACGGTCATAAACAGCACACTGATTGTTTCCACAATGAAAGTTTCAGTCAAAATTCAAATCTTCTTCTCTTTTACCTTGACATATGAGGTAAACAAGAAGCTTGCTGTGTGAAATGGGTAACATTTCCATAATCAGCACATCAAATTACCTCTATACTCTCTACAGACCATTACCTACTGCAGTTTCTAGTGTTTCTCACGCCTAAAAAGCGTGATTTTCGGACGTGATCAACTTGGTTTCAGAAGTGAGAAAAGTCAGCTTTTGTATACTCTTAACAAAGTAATGTTCTCTACAAGTCTATGCTACAAATCGGACTTCATATCGCTTTCAAACAGTGAAGTAAGAAGTGCTGCCAAAATTCCAACCGGCGCGTTTTTCACGTTGAGTGCTTCAACTTCTCGGATTAGCACAAGGCCGAAACAAGTCGAATCAAGCTCAAACACTTACCGTGGAATCTTCGAGGATTGAGCTACCGAATCACATAAAACTTGGATGGAAAAGCTTTTTCGGAAATAAAGTTAATAGGGTCAGGCGCAACCCCTCAAAAGGTCAGGCCGCCTGAGCTTTTGAGAGGTTGCGCCTGACCCTCTTAACTTGCCTTCAGCATTCAAAAATCGTCCCTTTTTTGATATGATTGTTGAGCGCAAAGCCTCTTCTTGCTATATTGAGAATTTGAAGCCAAACACTCCACCCCTGTGAAAATTATAGCTGAAAAGAGGACTATCCAGATCTGAAACTTGCCGTCAAGTTGCGTGTGGTTGTGCAATCGCAGAAAGTCGGGCCTACAGACTTTCAAAAATAGAAACCTACAGTGAAGGCTGGTCTTCTTCAAAATATAACACCCTAAGGACTTGGAGGTGAAGCAGAGGGTCGTTTAGGGGCTTTCACAGGGGGGGGGGGGGTCGTTTTTGAAGGACTTGTGCCTGACCTCTTGCTCAACCTTGATGATCACCCAGGGATTGCTCAAAAAAAGGGCCTTGAGCCGAATGCAATTCATTTCGAGCGACTGTTAGCGAACCTCAGTTGCAGGCGAACTTCAAAATCTTCGAACAGGCAAGCAAATACTGGCAACTAAAGGAATTCGCAAGAAATGCAGACGGGATCTCTGTGAATACCACGTAATCGCTACGGCTAGCAGTACTACTGAACAAAATTTTGGATTTTGATTTCCTCTAGATATAAGACGGAATCATTTGCGAAAATTGCTACACCAACCGCCGCTAATCAACAGCGTCCGTTATCGCACTAAAGAGGAACCAAATATGGATTCTACCTGCTGAATTGCGCACCGCTATCTAGACGTAGACGTCACGCTCCAGGGCTAGGTCATTATCCCGTCGAACTTTTGCAAGGTGCAGGACAACGTCTTTAGAGATTCTCGCGTCGCATGTAACATCTTACCTCCAAAGAAGTATCCGACCAATAAAGAACTCTAGAAGTCCTCCTTTTCTTACCGTTAGAAGAGGACGACTCTGATAAACTTTGCATCTGGTCCAATATTTCTGCTGAGTGTGCTGTACAAGCTCTTTAGAAGTCATTCTCGCTTGCATATCAAGAACACTGAATTGAGCCCAGCTTCAAGAACAAGCCGATTTTGCTGAGGTTCAGCTGAGTTACATGGGCCACATCCAGACGGCTTCGAGGGTCCTAGAACTGCCGGGAGTACCAACTGCTTCTTGTCTTAACCTACGTCGACTACGAGAAAGCCTTTGACAGCGTCGAAACCAACGCCATCCTGTCGGCGTTGGTAGGTCAAGGAGTGAACCAAGCTTTTGTGAAGACGTTGGTTAACTGCAAAAACTGTACAACGACGATGAGGCTATTCCATCGCCCAACATCCCGATTGGGAAGAAGGTTTGACAGGACGACATAATCTCGCCGAAGCTGTTCAAGGCGGACCTTGCTGTGGGTGATGAACTCACTAGAATGGGACGAGAGAGGCATACGAGCTGATGGGAGATTCTTGTCAAATCTTCGTTGTGCGGACGACATCGTTCCTCGTGCAGTATCATTGAAGCAGAGACGATGCTGAAGGAACTAAACGCAGTAGGGAAGAAGATCGGTTTGAAGGAGCGACCAGTTGACGGACCCGGAGCTTCGTGTCCACGACTCAACCGTTCTCCCGGCGCTCTGTTACGCAGCTGAGACTTAGGCCGACACTGTAGCCACTTCGAAAGCTCTACCAACCACTCACAGAGTGCTTGAGCGCAGTCTTTTGAAGATGGCCTGTCACAAGCAATATCTAGTCGGGCTTCGCAGTACGGTATGAGAAGAATGACCCGTCGCAGCGGAATACGTTGCAAAAGCGAAATACCGAGGGGCCGGTCACATCGTAAGAACAAACGACAGATGGACACTAAGAACGTCGGAGTGGAATCCTCGCGAAGCAAAACGCCTTGAGGAAGATCTCCATGAGAAAGGCTGAGAATCAGCTGGATACGATTTTCGCACCTGGAACTCGTGGACGCCATTGACGTCAACCAAGAAAATCGCGGATGTCTGGAGCGAGGAACAGGAGAAGAAGGGAAATTCTATGTTGAAGCCCGCACGTCACGTGAAGCCAGGCCATTTATCTTATATATAAAGCTGAATGCCTGTTTGTCTGTATGTATGTACGTATGTATGTATGTATGTATGTATGTATGTATGTATGTATGTATGTCTGTACGTATGTTCCGAATAGAAAATTCCATTTCTGAACCGATCCGGATCAAACTTGGCACACATACACTTCGAACCCCCTGCGGGTGTCACAGTCCACTTTTCGTTATCGATCGATGTCGATTTTATCGATTTTTTGCAAAATTTGACCTAGGGGGATGGGAGTTGGCACAGGGGGTAATCGAGCATGCTGATCACCCCCCGTGGGGGTGATCAGCATGCTCGATTACACCCCTCTGCCAAATTCCATCCCCCTAGGTCAAATTTTGCAAAAAATCGATAAAATCGACATCGATCGATAACGAAAAGTGGACTGTGACACCCGCAGGGGGTTCGAAGTGTATGTGTGCCAAGTTTGATCCGGATCGGTTCAAAAATGGAATTTTCTATTCGGAATATACGGCGGAGCCGGGTAAGCCAGCTAGTACCTAATAATAAGTCAGTAAGTAAGTGAAGAAGATTGAATTGCTGATAACTGAGAGGAAGACTCAAACATGAAGAACGCCTTTTGCGAAGATGGGAAAATAGAGTTGAAAGGCTTACTCGTCGCGGAAGAGTTTTT